GATGCTGTTTTTGAAGTATGAATAAGTAATTTATTCAATTGAAATATCATTGACGTATTATAGAAAAGTGATTTATCTTTTTATAAATGACAAAAGGCACATCTGCCTAATTTTTGCTGTGGTATTGTGATACTACTCAGAATCGTGATACTTTCACTGGTATCGTACCGTGGGTCCCAATTTTGGTACCGGACAACACTATTATTTTATGTATTTTACATTTCAAGTTGTAAAAAGTAAAATGCTTTGTTAAAAAACTATTTTGTTGCATAATGAGAATTGAGAAAATAAAGCAATTTATGTTCTTAATTTGTTTTTTTCTTTCTCAAAAAGTATCGATAAGAGTACCGTTAAAATACCGGATTGATAAGCAGTATCGATAAGAGTAGTAGTGCCGTTAAAATCTTAACAATACCCATCCCTAACAATAAATAATTGTTTAGTTTTGTTTTTTTGCCACGATAAATGTTAGAGCTATAGCCTAATATATTTTGTGACCGAAACAATGTGTCTTTAATATGATTTTTCGTGGCTTAACATAATTAGATGTTAATAAGACTGTGTATTTGTTTGATAATAATGTTTGGAGTCTAGAAAGTGATTTCAATGTTGATTTGTTTAATTTTGCAATGCTCTGCAGTTTACTGGGTCACACTAACACTTGTATTCTAATCTACAGCATATGTTTAATCAAGGTGTATTTCTGCATTACATATTATTGAATGAAAATAGAAAAATAAATCAGGGCACTACAATCTGGGCCACTTTTTCTGGCCTGTACAGCAGTGCTCCTCCAGTGCGATCCAAACAACGGAACCTGCTCTTCAGTATTCCAAAGGTGCGCTCCACAGTATTCCGTGTGCGGATATGGGCCTCGTTGTAGCCTACCTTATCTCTCTGGCAGTGGTCGGGTTGAGAACAGGTGTCAGGAGGAAGGGGTGTAGGGGATATGCACTATCACCTTTAAACCCATATGAATCCATATGAAACATGCTCTTGTTTTTAATGTAATTATTTTACAAAGGATTTTACAAATTGACTCACCTACAAGCCAGCCATCTCCAAACTCGCCATCTCGCAACTTGGAAAACAGAAAACTGTTTCTCAGAATAAAATAATCGTGTACTGACCCGGGCTATTTTTGCCACAACATTGGTAATGATGCCTTTGGCATCACAAACGCACTGCACATTCAATGAATGCATGTGTTTGCGATTTCTGTACACATGCTCAGTGTCTGCAGGGGGCACAAGCTGCACATGGGTGCAGTCAATCGCTCCTATAACTCTGGGAAATCCAACTAATACAAAGAAGCCTTGTTCGGTCTCATTCAAGGAGTGCCGAGTGCATGGAAACCTAATAAACCTGGCCATCCGGTGCAATGGCATTTAGGACTTCAGACAGCACATTTGAAAAACAGGATTGGGAGATCCCAGCTGTAACAGCTACCGTACACTGAAATGACCCAGATGCACTCTAAGTTCCTCCAACAGTTTCAAAATGGCAATGCTGGATAGGCGATATGTTTTAATGATTTTTTCCTCATTCATTCCAAAAATGTTCACACGAGGGTGAAAAATACGTTCTCTGTGTCTTCTTTCAGCGTTTTGATGTTTCCTTCTTGCAACAATAACCGCAGCCATGTGTGCGCAATTACGCATACAAACCGTTTGCACCTCCCTTTGACCCTTTGTTAAATATAGACGGAGTTTCTATTTGCAAAATTGCTTTCAGGTTTGATAAATCACTTTGTGTGTGCTAAATTAATATATTTACATTTTCTCCTCCCAGCACACACACAATTGCGTGTAAACGCCCCATATTGCATATTCATTGCAGCAAACGTACTAACTGGATGCAGACTTGCTATTTTGCACCTTTGAAAGATGCAACCCTTAGTGCGCACTGTTAGTAAATCAGTTTGTACATTTTTTTGCATGTGCAATGAGTTTGCACATGTTTTTATACATGCAAACCTTTAGTAGAGCCGGCCCTATCTGAATTAAATTGCAGGTACCAGAAATTAACAATAATCTATTCTTCATGTGGTAGTTGTCTGCAAGCCAATTCACATTAAAATCACCAAGCAGATACATTTCTCTATTTTCATCAGTCACTCTGTCAAATATCATTCAGATACCCATATTAGTGTTAGGAGGTTTATAGCAGCAGCCAACAACTATTGGCTCAGTAAAAGGTAAATGCACTTGTATCCACAGAGCTTCAATATTATCCTTCATTAAATCAGATCGTAGTTTTACTGGCATGTGATCTTGTATGTAAATTGCTATGCCACCACCAAAATTGTTTCTGTCCCTACGATATATAGAAAAACCATTAATAGATATTAATGAGTCATCAAATGAACCATCTAGATGTTTTTCAGTTATAACCATAATATCATTGTTTTTTAAAAGTGTTTCAAGTTCATGTATTTTGTTCCTCAAACTACAGATATTTAAGTGTGCGAAAATTAAGCCCTTGGATAAGTTCATAGTGAGTTGTTTCCTTGTCAGTAGTTCAGTTCAGTCCATGGTGATGCTGAATAGGAGCTGAAGTTGAAGAAGACCAGAGAGCTAGGCTCTAGCTCCCAACCCTTACTTTTGGGAGGGGGGATGGACAATAGGCCTATCATATCGGATGTAGGCTATGTCGCCGCATTCTCTGGCAGCTTTCATGGCAGGGATGAGTTCCGTGTGCTTTTATATATCATAACCGTGTACATATCCCTACAGGAAAGTGCAGGCTACATAGAGGCTGTACCAACATAATCAGCTAACACAAGGTACAGGAATGAAATTAAAATTGGATTTTTTTTTTCTTCCCATTGCTATACTATTTGTCAGATGATATAACTCAGATTTTCACTACCTAAGGAGAAGTGTTGAGCTTTTTTTTTGCAAAATTGGTTTCAGATTAAGGAGCTGTCCAGGGTGCTTATGCATAGTATTAAGTTATTGCTATAAGTAAAAATCTGTCGCAGTCTTCGAATATACAGAAAAACAGATAAAGGTAAAATACTGGACCACCACTGTTATTATTATTATTATTATTATTATTGTTATTATAATATTGTTTGTCATTTTGGATCAAACTAGTTTCATTAAGCTGCCAAATAGTTTACCCTTTCTCTGTAGAACTGGTGTGTTATTTTGAGGTTTTTGAAGGAAATCTAAATTTCAGTCAGTCTGCACTTACGATTTAGTAAGTTTTTACAGAAAAATTGTAATATTGCAACATTGGGCCTGGATGGGAGCAGAATTTGTGTATTTGCACTCACACTGTCACAACAAATCTACTGAACAACTAAGGGTTCATTTGCAGTGTGGATTGCTTACAAAGCTCTGTAACAGTAAACATCATGAATAATAACCACACAACAGTCACAGTTTTATGAATCATAATTTATTGGGCTAAAAAGAAAAAAATACAGGATGAAAACTTTGGGGCAGACCCAGAACATGCTGGTGGAACTTAAATTAGTGGGAGAAGACAGTGATGACAACTTTGTTTAAAAACCAGTGCCTGGTGTTCATGTACAGTGTTACTCCAAAAAGCAGTTCCTTTCCTCTGAAAAGCAGAGACGGACACTACAATTCCTGCAGAGTGTCTTGGAGTAGCCTTTATTGCAGTGTCTGCAGCGTCCTCTCTTTGTCTTCACTGGGAAATGTGCGATCATGTCCTAAGGCACATCCACTGGTGGTACACATGACCTCTTCGGAGCAGTCACAGGTCTCTGTGGTGTTACTGTCATGGATGTCACTGGTGATACAGGGCGCGTAAAGATGGCCACCCTCTCCATGGTGTGTTGACAGTTGATTTTGTCTGAATAAGATGAGAAAAAATATGAATTACAAAAAACGGTATAATCAGTGAAATACTAAATAAGGTAAACAACAGAAATGGATTCCTACCAGGATGAGAGAAGATGCTATTTGCGCCTGAAACCCTCTCCTGTTCAGCATCTCTTTCTTGGGAATATTGCAAGCTTTGCAGTCCCGCTTGTAGAGGAGCCAGGCGTTGATTACAGCGAAGATGATGGTGTGTCAGAAGATGTAACTGTAGCAGCTGTGCGATTTCTTCGGAAACTTGTTTTTTGCAGCAAATGAGTCCAACAATCCACACCACTCATGTATTTATTGTAGGTACCCATAATGTAAGGCCTCTCAGCTTTAAATTTTCCATTACCACGTTACTATTATCATCAGTTAGATTCCTATATTTAATCGTTTTATTCAAATGAATACTCAGATCTAAAGCCCCAAACCCCTGGGTCCTTTGCTTTTATGCATTCACTCGATTTTAGGTAGGCTTCTTCTCGGATAATGAAGTTTTCTGACATTCAGGAATGATTAAAGTGAAACAGTGTATCTGTTAGAAGCCATTTTATGCTTCCCCAGACAGGTGACATGTGTTTAATCATTAATATTATCTACCCTTTAGTAATAATTATATTTATTATTATTACAATCTAATGTATGATTATCAATTTATATGAAAGTAATCCTCAGCAGATAACATGCTGACAGTCACGGCGAGCAGCTCTGATACAAGTCTGACTAAACGGCGGCCATCATCAGTGTGTTTGCTGACACCAGAATAACTTCAGTTTATTCCAAAGTCATCAACAGCAGATGGTTGTTTTTACACTGAGTCCCTGAACAAACATGTGGGCTGCTGGAAAACGGCTTTGATGGAGCTGTGATGCATTTGAAGTCATTTTAGGAGAGAAATGAGTGGGAAAAGCCGCTGAGCAGTGCTGGCCACGGCGGTGAATAGGTGAGGTTTGGAGGCTCCACAGACAAAATGCAGAGAGCATCAGAGCTCTACATGACTTGAATATGAAGAGACACAAGTCCGCTATCGGCTCCCTTCACTGTCAGCCTTCAGCACTTGTCCCACATTTAGTTTTTCACCTTTTCTCAGTCAAGAGAAAACACAAGTGCTCCAGCTTTCACACTGCACAGAGGAGCCACGGGCTGGGTTGAGTCTCCACGGTTCTCACGGTGTGTTTAAGGACAGCCTCCTGCTCGGAGCTTTCAACAGTCCAGTCAGACACTCTCGTGTGTTACTCGGCAAGAACAACATGGCAGAGACAGCTCCAGCTCCAGCTCCGGCCGCCGCGCCGGCCAAAGCCGCCAAGAAGAAGGCGCCTAGACCGAAGAAGACCGGTCCTAGCGTCGGCGAGCTCATCCTGAAAACTGTGGCCGCATCCAAGGAGCGGAGCGGCGTGTCTGCGGCCGCTCTCAAGAAGGCTCTGGCTGCCGGAGGCTACGATGTGGACAAGAACAAGTCCCGCGTCAACACCGCCATCAAGGCCCTGGTGGCTAAGGGCTCTCTGGTCCAGACCAAAGGGACCGGGGCCTCCGGCTCCTTCAAGATGAGCAAGAAGGCTGCCGAACCGAAGAAGGTCAAGAAGCCGGCCAAGAAAGCCGCTCCTAAAGCCAAGAAGCCCGCAGCGCCCAAAAAGCCCAAGACAGCGGCAGCTAAGAAGCCAGCAGCCGCTAAGAAGTCTCCCAAGAAGGCTAAGAAACCCGCAACGGCCAAGAAAGCAGCTAAGAGCCCCAAGAAGGCTGCAAAGAGCCCGAAAAAGGCCACCAAGAGACCCAAGAAGGTGGCCAAAAAGGCCCCTGCAGCCAAGAAAGCCCCAGCAAAGAAGGCAGCCAAGCCCAAAGTCAAGAAAGCAGCAGCCAAGAAGAAGTGAGCTGTCATCAGTCTCATCAACAAACTACTCACTAAAAGGCTCTTTTAAGAGCCACCCACACCATCCATAAAGAGCACTCTGTCATTAATTCGTTAATTAATTAATAGGGTTTTTTTTGTTTTGTTTTGTTTTGACTGTATCACTCGTGCTTTGTTCGAGCTATAGTGGGTAATACAAAATAGAGACACATCTCTGATCTATTAATTCTGAATTCATTGCGTATTGTAAAATGAATAGTCATCTTATCGATATACTAAGACAAAGGTGTGCTCATGTTATTGGAAAGAGTGATGATTGAGTTTTAGAAGAAATAATAAACAGGGTCTTTTCACAACTGCTATCATTAAACATGTATTGACATATAGTGGTAGAACGTAAACTTCAGTGCATCTGTCAGCTTTAGTTACTTTGAAGCTTGACTTCTACAACATATCAATAAGGTATGAGGTATTAAAACAGCAGCCAAGAAGAAGCTAAATATAGAAACAACTCTGTAAATTTTATTAATTATAGCTCTTTAAATAGTTAACTTATATATACAAAGAGAAAAAAAATTAGATATTTGGCCAGTTACAGTTAACTTAATTTTATCTGTATCTCACCCATCAAAAACGACTAACAAGGTATTGCTCTACAGATGTAAAAGGCAGGGTGTCTTCACCTTATAATGCAGTCACATGAGACAGGCGTACATCAGAATTTCCTTTATTCTGTTTTTTTTTGTGAAAGCATGTCATTCACAATGCTTAATTAAGCAGTGACTGAACAATGCAGACCGAAGAGACATGAGGAATTATCTTCAGAGAAAGTGGGTGGCTCTTAAAAGAGCCTTTGTACTGATTTTTTTTTTTTTTTTTTTTTTCCGTCAACAGGTTTACTTGGAGCTGGTGTACTTGGTGACGGCCTTGGTGCCCTCAGACACGGCGTGCTTGGCCAGCTCACCGGGCAGCAGCAGGCGGACGGCGGTCTGGATCTCCCTGGAAGTGATGGTGGAGCGCTTGTTGTAGTGAGCCAGACGGGAGGCCTCACCGGCGATGCGCTCAAAGATGTCGCTCACAAACGAGTTCATGATGCCCATAGCCTTGGACGAGATGCCGGTGTCGGGGTGGACCTGCTTCAGCACCTTGTACACGTAGATGGCGTAGCTCTCCCTCCTGGTCCTCCTCTTCTTCTTGCCGCTCTTACTGACGCTCTTAGACACGGCTTTCTTTGAGCCCTTCTTGGGCGCTTTGACGGTGGTTTCAGGCATGATCAGAAAAGTCGATTTGTCCTTTATGGAATGGGGTCATTGTCTGCAGAGGAGTCTATTTGTATCCACTTGATGCAAATAGTACTGTGCTGTTGCTCGCACTGGATTGGTCAGCTTCTGAAGCTGGGAAACAATACAGTGGGTGAGTGAGGGGAGAAAGAAGAAAGAAAATCAAGTTATTTAAAAAGTTAAAACTAATAGCCGGCGTTGCGTTAAATACAAAATTATTCAGCTATTTAGATAGTAAATGATACATACCTTGTTATAAATGATATAATTGATGCCATTCCTTTTCAAATTACATACAAAAGAAATTATTAGATCAAATCTGTTCAAAAGCTTCTCTCTCTGATCTGTGCAGGATTTTAAATCCTCAAATCATCCATCTAAGCTGTTTGGACTTTAGAACAAAAACTAGAAAAAATAACACATCTTTTCAAATCTGATAGCTTTATTATGTTACAATAGTGACTGATTATTCTGATCATTTAGTAATGAAAGCCTCTGTCCTGTGTGGGGGGGATGATGAAAAAGAGACTTTTGGAAACTTAATGTTAAATATCTAAATAAGGTTTAGGCTCAAAAGCCACTTGATTAGGTGGAAAAATGCTGTGATTTGTCAGTAAAACAACTAGGACTGCTGCCACAAACACTGGTGGATATGATGCTACCTGTCGCCAGAAAGACAACTGATGTCGGTTTGTTATATTTTTGGTGGACAGTGGATCGTAGCTTGATAGGCATCTCACTAAAGTGATATGCCATCTACCATCCCCTACACCTCCAGATGATGTCAGCTTATATATTATGTCACTTTAAAAACACTGATATGATACATATGAAATGTAGAAATGCAAGGTATTTGTGGTTTGTAGTAACATATGTTGTCAGTATTTCATGACAATGTATTATGATATAAGTCACTGAGGTGACAAAAATAAATTAGGATCTATGTGGAAAACAAAACAAAACAAAACAAAAATAATCCCCTTTTAATTCATAGGAAAATAAAACGTATCCCTATTCAAAAGTTTGTAAGTCTTTCTAAGGTGTAACAAGGACATATTTTTGATAATATCTTTATATTTAAAATCTGGGAGCCAATAGAAGCCTCCCATTACTACCCAGATGTGTGTGCATATTGTATGATGTGTATGAGCTTTTAGTGTAGCTCCATATTTGTGCTTTCAGTCAGAGTAAAAAATCTTGGAGCTCAGAAAGTCACAACATGGTTAAATCTGATAAGCATGATGAAGTTTCATCTTGTCTGTCCCAAACCTCCAAGTTTCCACTGTGTGGGTGGAGCAATGGGTCTGTGAGAGCTTTAAAACAAAGAAGAAATGTTCACACTTAAAGTCATTTAAATTGAATTCTAAAGCAAAATTATAAGATGAAAATCACGTAAAGAAAAAATTAAACCGAATGGGAGACTAAAAAGAAAAACACACAAAAAAAAGTTAAAAAAAAATCTTCTGTTGAAGAAAAGCTGAAGAGACTAATTGTCAGAAACACAGTAAATTCAAAAGCTCTTCTGTCACTTGCAGGAAGCTTAACTGAGGGACTTTGAAAAACAAAACCATGTTAATTATTACATGTGTGCTTTTCCTGCTATTTCAAAACATCTCCAAAGTCTGTTTTATCACAAGAGAGGATAGCACTTTTTAATAAGAAATACTCCACAAAGGGTTTATAAAATAGTCCAGATGCTTTGCAGCTAAGGTAAGTGTTAACCGCTCCATTGGATAGCTTGCTAAAAAGACAGGACAAATGGACGTTTTATAATCAGGTATCTAAAAAGTTGTTTCCAATTAGTCGAATTTATCTGAGC